GCACATGAGCTCCAGCAGTCCAGGCACATGAGCTCAGTTCCACACAGAGACCTTCCCTGTGCCACCCATGTGCTGCAATGCAAGGAAGAGAGGAACGCTGATAGGAACGAGTGTGAGGAGGACGGGAGCTTGCAGCGTTCCAATGAGGTAGCCAGTCAAATGACAGGCACTTTCTTTCTTCAATGGTGCCACTTGCAGTTTTTTTTCCTCACTCAACCGGAAATGCGTGAAAGTAGGGCCACGCTGCCACGAACAGCCGTCCTAACGCCCATTCCATGCCCTGCTGTTGACGCCAATGCCTGAGCCCCTCGCTCTGCCCTCCTGTACAGACAATACCACTGGCTCACTATGCTCATCTCGCCCCACCCACCCTGGTAACTAACGACACTTTGTTGAAAGACAGTTCCTTGATAAGGCAACCTTGAACATTCCCAAGGAAAGGATTTGCCACTGGCACTTTTTGGACCTTGCGTCCCTCGCTCACCCTGCTTGCTGGAGTAGATGCTGCCGGGAGGGAAGATCTCAAACCGCTCGCACTCGTCCTTGAGGGCCTTCATCTCCGAGGCAAACCACACGGAGCCTGCCAGCAGGGAGACAAGCAATGAGAGAGAGAGACCACACGAGAAGAAGTTCGTCAGGTCAAACTCAGGTCAAGTCAAAGGCAACACCTTCCCCACTCGCACTCGTCCTTGAGGGCCTTCATCTCTGACGCGAACCACACGGAGCCTGCCAGCAGGGAGACAAGCAATGAGAGAGAGAGACCACACACACAGAAAAACGAAGGTCGTCAGGTCAGGTCAACTCAAAGGCCATACATTTCCCTCTTGCACGCGTCACTAAGGGCCTTAATCTCGGGTCTGAGGCGAACCAAACGGAGCCTTCCGGTACAGAGACAAGCGGCCAAAGGCGAAATGGAAAGACAGACCTCACTTTTACTCAAAAACCACGCTTCTCCCGCTCGCACTCGCACTGGTCCTTGGGGGCCTTCATTCACGAGCCGCACTCACTCACCATCGCGCCCCCAGCCGATGTACATGGAGCAGATGCCAATGGGGTCCCTGTAAGCCGACCCAGCACTAGGAGGAATCACGAGCAGCACCACTAGCCGCCAACACCAGCATTTACCAGCAGCAGCAGCACTCACCGTCGCGCCCCCAGCCGATGTACATGGAGCAGACGCCCATGGGGTCGCGGGCTGCCAACCACCAGCACCTGCCTCAAACAGTAGCAGCATTCACCGTCACCACTGGCATTTTCTATCCGCCACGAGCAGCACTCACCATCGCGCCCCCAGCCGATGTACATGGAGCAGACGCCCATGGGGTCGCGGGCAGCGATGAAGGAGTTGTCGCGCGTGTCCAGCAGCACGAATGCGAAGATGCCGTCCAGCTCCTGCACCAGCTCCTCGCCCCGCTCCTCGTACTGGCAGATGCGGGGAGATGAAAGGAAAGGAGAGGGTTCATAGGGGGGCCAATCACGGCGGCACCAGCTCCTGCACCAGCTCCTCGGCCCGCTCCTCGTACTGGCGGGACGGAAGGGAGAGAGGAGAGGAGAGACGAGGCAGACAGGTGGTTCATAAGGAGGGCAATCACGGCACCACACTAGTGGCACCAGCTCCTGCACCAGCTCCTTGCCGTGCTCCTCGTGCTGGCAGGTTGGGAATATGATCGGAGAGACGAGGCACGCACTTGTTTAAAGGAGCAAACATCACAGCTAGTGGCACCAGCTCCTGCACCAGCTCTTCGCCCCGGTCCTCGTACTGCCAGGTGGGGAGAAGAAATGAAAGAAGAACACATACAACGGAGGCACGGGAAATAAGAGAAAGCTCAGGTAGTTGATAGGAGGAGGAGGAACAGTCACGGCAGATCCTTGGCCCCTTCCTCGTACAGCCGGGTGGGGAAGATGAGAGGAGAGAAGAGGCGAGCAGCAGTGGTAGGAGGAGAAAATCTAACCAGCAGTGGCACCGGCTCCTTGTCCCGCTCCTCGTACTGCCGGTAGGAGAAGAGGCAGGAGGTTCCAAGGAAAAGCAATCACAGAAGCAGCTCCTGTACCCACTCCTGCAGCCACTTTTTCTCCCTGAGGCTTTTCTTGAAAGGAGTAAAATGCGACCTCTTGGAGTGTTAAAAGAAGCAGACACAAGAATCGTGAGGGCCAATAACCACGCAAAGGAACACTCACCAGGTGCGCAATGACTTCGCAGTCGCTCTCCGTGCTGAAGGAGTGCTTCTCCTTGAGGCTCTTCTTCAGCGCCTCGTGGTTGTAGATCTCGCCGTTCACCTGACCACGCACGCGCAAAGAAACATCAACACGAAATGTCACGAGATGTTTTAGGAGCAGAACCTACAAGTCAGGGATGATATTTTTTATTATTGCTAAACGGACTATGAGATTAGGACATTCAATGAGTAAGCCACACGCACCGTGACGATGATCTCCTTGGTCTCGTTGTAGAGCGGCTGGTGGCCAGAAGCGGGGTCGACAATAGCGAGACGCTCGTGGGCGAGGAAGTTGTTGTTGTGCACGTGCACGCCGCTCCAGTCCGGTCCTCGATGCCTCAGCCTAGATCATCAACAAAATAAGAAATGAATGACAATGATGGTTCTCGAGAACTAAGGTAATGCTCTGAGAACGAAAAAAAAGCCGTGGTATCAGAGACTCAAATGCGCAATGAAAATGCATACTTTCACTACATTAACTGGATGTCTTTGCGTGTGTGCTCTCAAAATGACATGCTAGGCCCTGTTGGGATTAACATTGGAAGCTAAAACCAACAAAAGCGGAAATTTTATATTGTAATAGCATGCACGTAACGGCGACCAGACGGCGGCATATTGCTTAGCACTAATCCTTGATCATCCGAGAAAACTCAACAGCGAAATGTCAAGCATCCAGAACCTATAAAAATAGCGACCTACACGTGGTAAAAGCTCACCTAGCGGAGCACTCGAGCACGCGCGCGCGCATGCCAGGCGAGTCATCGGACGAGCTCAAGCAGGCGAGAATGCCACACATTTTGACTGGTCAACCGGATTCCCGGCTTGGAAGGGAAGTCACAAGAAAGAAATGCGGCAGAAGCTGTACCCAAATTTCTCCTTCGTGCACTGAATTAGTGCACGAAACAAAATCCACTGGGAGGAGCTGCAGCTCCTGAGGTGAATGCAGGAGACAAAGAACAAAGCAATCCTTCCTCGCGCAGGAAGGAAGATTGAATGAAGATTAGGGCAAACAGGAGGAAGGAAAGTGAGCTGGCTGACTCCTCCTGGACCAGTAATTACCAAGGTCTCGGGAATGCGTCTGCTGTTTCATTCTACGGTATGCTCTGGTTCACAGCAGTTAAACGCGGTGACTTGGTGAGGCGAATCTGCTGTGTTAATCACCGTATCCAACCGTAGTGAGCCTTTCGCCTACACATTTTTTGTGACAGATTGTGGAGCAGGTTGGACTGCTGCAATCTCGAGCAACGAATACCGGACGTTACCGTCAGCTGAGGTGTAAATTAGGGAAGCCTTCGGAAGACCGTGATTGGTTACTAAATCAGAGCGGCTCCCCTCCCCGTCAACACCACGCCACGACGGGGCCCGAGAACTACAATTCCCGAGGGGTTTGGCGGCGCTGCCCTATCAGTGCTCATATAATTACCCCGTGGTTCTGATAAAACGAGTCATATATATCCACGTCAGCGAAGGCTCATCCAGATGGTCCCGAGTTGCTGTTGACGAGGTTTCAGGGTCCACATCAGCAATAGCGACCGAATTTTAATATTCGGTGCAAACTGCTTCGGTATCACGCCGAGTTCACAGCAAGTGGATTCGTCAAGAAGTTGCCTAACTGTTCAGCAAGCGAAAGAAATAACAAAGAAATCCAACAATTGGCTCGACTGACAGGTAACCAGACCGCATTTCAGAGACACTGACCAGACTTCCGCGCCGCATCTCTGGTTCAGCTGGGCCAGGCGATCCGCGCTGACGGCTTGGCAAAGCAAGGTCCACAAACATTTTGTTCTCCGGAGAAGTCAATTCAGTTCGGTCAGTCATACAACCCCCTTTCCCCGGAATTGGAGGAACTGAGTTCTTGGCCCTAATCAAAACCTCCACACCTTTCGCGTAGTGGAAGATTCACTCCCTTGTCCCTTCTTGGAACACACTGAATGAATATGGCACAAAATCTTGCAGCAGTACACGATGGAAACAAAAACTGGGAAACCGGAGTCATTACCTTCCAAACACAAAATTCCTTACCTTTCCGCCCTTGCTTCTGCCCTGGATCTTCCGCCAAGCGTCACCTGCTCCAGCACAAATTCCATGTTGTTCCTTCTGACGGAAATTCCTGCCCTTCGCTTCTGCCGCGGACAGTGGGGCCGCCATGCAACTCCAGTGATTCAGCCGTCGCTGCAGGCCTTCGCTCGACTCGTGTGTTCGCGTTCCAAGTCGGCCTCAGGAATCCAGCTGAATCAGTCTAATGACAAGGTCAACGAGGAGTATGCTCGGGACGAAAGTCGAGCATTCGTGCCTTGAATCTAGAGGCTGCATTGAGTCACCAGCAACAACAAGCGGGTTTCCAGATACGAGAGCGTTCACCCGAGAAATCCAGCCTTAGTACCTCCACATACGGGCAGTGTCGCCTCGTACCGCGGGCAGTGTTTCCGCGTAAGTGAACTCTCTAACTTCGTTCCACATGGTCACTTCCCTTCAGCGCACCTCTTCGCGGCACAGGCGCAGAATTCCCCAATCCTCAAGTCTCAGCAAGTCGTCGTCGCACAAACACTCCCGTGCAATATACGACACGCCGGCCCACTCACAGGCGTGATTTTGTCGCATCAACTCCTCGTTGATATAATGAAGCCGAGAAGACCGTTCGGCACGTCTGGAATCATGGCCTGCTTTCTGCTCATCGTAGGGGTGCTAGTTTCGTTTCATCCTGTTACCACTCTCGCGAAAGGGCATTTAGTCGGCGAACAGTTGCTGTTACCACATGAAGAATCGCGCGTCGTTTCGCAGAACATGGAGATCCTCCTCGCGACCGGAACGAATCAGGAATTTCTGCAGGCGGCGAAAACCGTTGGCGGAAAGAAAGTCGGAACAGGCGGAAATTTCCCGCGGAAGGGCGGAAAGAGAAAGGGCAAGACAAAGAGGGAAGGGGCAGGCAAGAGTAACGGCAAGGGCGCAGGGAGCAAGAGCGGAAGCGGGATAGCCGGCGGAACGGAAGCCTTTCTCGGCACTCTCAAGGGCGGCGGAAAGGGGAAGGGGAAGGGCGGGGGAAACGGAGGGCGGAGCGGGAAGAAGGGGAAGAAGGGCGCCTGGGGGATCGCGCTCCGCACTCTTCCGATTTGGAACGCAGCCAAGTTCCAGCTTAAAGCGCGCCGAGCCGCCGCGGGGTTGAAAAAGGCGATGGTGCAGGCGGGCGCGGCGCGCGGGCAGGCATTGAGCCTCGAGCGCCAGTGGTTAGCGGAAGGAGCGCGCGCGGGGGCGGGTGCGGACACGCGGGATATGTGGACGCAAGTTGCTCGCGACTGCGTGCACCAGGTACGACGCGAATGAAAGCTTTGTGAGACGCGATATCGTGTGACGCGTTACCGTGTACGATGCAATACTTGTTGTCAAAGTTCAACTCCAGTGAAACATCAACTTGTGAACCATCGAGGACTATGTGAGCAAATGCGAACGGAAGAGGCGCAGAGCACGGAGTAAGGAAGGGGCCCTTCCTTACCCCCTCTCCCCTCACTTCTCCCCTCCATCTTCCCCATCCCTCCCGGTCTTTCCCATCCCCCCCTGGTCTTCCCCCCATTCCCCCCCGTCTTCCCCCCATCATCCCGGTCTTCCCCCCATCCCCCCGACTTCCCCCCATCCGCCAGCTGTCGCTCTCGCAGCTCAGCTTGGATCGCGCGGCGGAGATTCTGGAAACAGGCGACGCGGACGCGTCGGACGCGGTCTTCAAGCTGTCGGGCGCTGCGACGATGGCGGACAACTGTCAAGGCTCGTTCGATAACGTGCGGCGGACGGAGGATGCAGCGGGCGGGGATGGCGGAGGGAGCGGCCGTTACGGCATGACAGCGCAAGTGCGGGTGAGTGGGGTGTCACGCGGGCATGAGCTGCCACGCTGACAGGGTGTACGGGCAAAATAAATTGGAACCAACAGATGTAGGCATTTTTCTCTCACCTCTTATTCCGTATTCCTCTCTTCCCTTTCCCCGTCGGTCTCTGTTTGCCCCCCACTGCTCCCATCAGCAAACGGCGGCAGACCTGCGTGATTCCATCGCGGCGCTCCAGCAGCAGACCCTCGACCTGCAGCAGTTCGCTGCTGCTGACCCAGAGAGACAGCTGATAGCCTCATGGTGTCCCTAGATACTGCCACATGGGAATTGCCACACGGCACACTGGATAAAAGTGATATTTTGAGACGTCTCAAAATATTACTTTTATCAGCTGATAGCCTCATGGTGTCCCTAGAGATTGCCACCTAGCAATTGCCACATGGGAATTGCCACACGGCACACTGGTGGACCACCAGCGGAGACTCCTGAGACGGGCAGTAGTGGGCGGTATCCATACCTTTGAGAATTCTCAAAAGTCTCACCTTCTAATCCCTTCTTCCCCACTGCCTTGCCCTGTTGGTGTCTATTCCCCACCCACTGCTCGCATTAGGAAACGGCAGCGGGGCTTCGGAATTCCATCGTGGCGTTCCAGCAGCAGACCCTCGACCTGCAGCAGCGGGCGATACCCATGTCTCACTGTCTCGCCTTCTAATCCCTTCTTTCCCACTGCCCTGCCCTGTTGGTGTCTGTGTTTGCCACCCACTGCTCGCATCAGGAAACGGCAGCAGGGCTTCGGGATTCAATCGTGGTGCTCCAGCAGCAGACCCTCGACCTGCAGCAAATTGCAACTGCTGCTGCCGCTGCTACTGATGATGCTGCTGATGGTGGTGATGCCACCCAGTCTGCTCCTCCTGCTCCTGCCCCTCCTGGTGGTGGTGGTAATGCTGATGGGAGTACAAGCAGCGACGCTCCTTCAGGTTCGTCGAATGACGTGGCACCACCACCGCCATCCTCGACTGAGGAGGACGTGGCGGTCCCAGCTTCTCCCAGCGGGAACGACCAGAGCGCCAGTGAAGGGGGGCCACGTGGCAGCACAGTAGATTCATCGCCAGCCAACGGCCAGGATGGTGCTGCGGCATCTGACGGTCGATTGTTGGCTGAATCGTGGCCGTCCGTGATGAAAGGCGTTGAGGGGGAGGTGGGAGGGAGAAGGAGGCGGGTGCAGGAGGGGGGTGTTGAGGAGAGAGGGAGAGGAGAGGGAGGGGTAGGAGATGGTGGGGGTACTGGGAAGGAGGAGGGAGAAGAAGTAGAAGTGGGAGGAGTCGAGGGGGAACAAGTGGCAGGAGGTGAGGAAGGGGGGGAGGCAGGGGGAGGTGTTGGGGGAGAGGAAAGAGGAGTAGTAGGAGAGATAGTGGGAGGGGAAGAGGGTACGAGTCTTCAAGATACGAGCCCTCAAGACCCTTACTTGGACCTTGATCCTTATGTGGGCCCCACTGAATCTTCCTCTGACGGGCCTGACGACGTGGAAGGCCAAGCTTCTCACGTGGAAGTCCCCCCTGCTGACGTGGACGAACCCACTGCCAGCACAGCACCAGCGGAAACTGAGGGCCAGAAACGCACTCCCTCGTCCCCCTCCTCCTCGTCCTCGTCCTCATCCCTCTTACAAGCCAACGGCACTGCTGACCCCCCAACGGCACCCCCCTCTTCCCCCCCGCCCACCCCTCCTCCTCCCCCCAAAAAGCCCCCATCGCTTCCCACCGATTGCCCCAAGCCCATAGTGCGCCCTCCCCCCCTCCTTGCGCCCTTCTCCATTCCCGCCTTATGCCAAACTTGGTGGTGGCACAGGATGGGTCTGGAGACTTCACTACTATCCAGGTAACCATTTACATATATATATATATATATATATATTTTAAGGATCGTTTCTATGCTGACAACCATTCTCTAGTTATTCCACTACTTTATCCCGTGTAACAACCAAGTGTTTCTGTTATTATTTTGTGTGCTTTCGCCCATGCAATGTACAGGACGCGCTCCTCGCAGCTCCCAAGAAGCCCAAGGGGCGTTTCGTGATTCTTGTGATGCCAGGTGTTTACAACGAGCGCTTTGAAGTCGGGAAACCCAACATCACGCTCGTGGGGCTGAATCCAGCGCTCACCATAATAACCGGAAACGCGAGTGTTGGCACCAACTACACTACATTCAACAGTGCTACAGTTGGTAAGAAAACTTTTCTTTTTAAAGAAGTAGCCGCGTTTGATGGTGGTGAGTGAGGGGTTGCATGAAGATTGAAAAATGGCGGTTTGGAGGTCTTCTAACTCTTATAATTTTGCCATTCTCCTCTCATCCTTTAGCTTCATTCTTTAAGTCTCCTGCACCCCCATTCCCCGTACCCTTATCTCTCCATCGCTCTGTCAGCTATTGAGGGTGACTACTTTGCAGCGGTAAACCTCCGATTTGAGAACACGGCAGGCAAGATCAACAACCAGGCGGTGGCTCTGAGGGTGTCGGCAGACCAATGCGCGTTCCACAACTGCGAGTTCTGGGGCTTTCAGGTGAGCACGCATGGGATGCATGTGCATTGATTCAGGCATGTGGTACATGTGCATTGATGGTACATGTGGGAATAAGTGGTTTTCCATTACTGCGAGTTCTGGGGCTTCCAGGTGAGAACGCACAGGCCTATTAAAGTTGATGCAAGTAAGGCCTCCGCAACCCACCTGTTTGCGGCCCACAAGTTCAGGCGGTGGCTCTGAGGGTGTCGGGCGGCAGACCAATGCATGTTTCACAACTGTTAGTTCTGGGGCTTCCAAGTGAGAATGCATGGGATGCATGTGCAATGCGATTCATCTGAGATTCATGTGGATGCTAGGTGGTGTGTGATTCCAAGCTGGAACTCTGTCTCCTGTTCCGTTCCCGCACCCACAGTTTCAATCCACTCTTCGGGCCTTCAATCTTGTGACTGCCGCTCGACTCTCGCTGATGTTGTTTTCCCCGATATCTCCCAATACCCCTGCTCGCCTCCAGGACACGCTCTACACCCACAGCGGACGTCAGTACTACCGCAACTGCTTTATAACCGGCAATGTTGACTTTATCTTCGGTAATGCTGCAGCCATTTTCGATAACTGCACCATTCAGATCCGCCAGCACACCAGCGGCGCCCCTGTTGCAGCCTCCAGCCGCCAAACCCTCACCGACCCCACCGGCCTCGTCATCATGAATTCCCGGGTAGTTGGCGAAACCACCCGTTGCGTTACGGGCTTTCTGGGCCGCCCTTGGAAGAGCTACGCCCGTGCAGCGGTGATAAACTCGTACCTCTCGCCTCAAGTCAGTTCGCTCGGATGGATGGATTGGAACGGGCAGGTGAACGACACGATAAGTTTTATCGAGTTCAACAATACAGGGCCGGGGGCCAACGGACCGCGCGTGCCGTGGCTACGGCCGGGGATTTTAGCGAATGTGATTGCAGTGGGTGATTTCTTACCGGACAAGTTCCTGTACCCGTTTGGAGTGATCCGAGCGCTGCTTCCATGGTTGTGAGCTGCCTTGGTCCGTGGCTTGTGCCATTCGCTGCAGTGTTGGCCATCGTGGCTGAAACCGTAAGTCGGTAGGTGTGTCTGGCTCAGAGCAGTGTGTAAGATAGGTACACATGGCGACAGGGTGACAGGGTGACAGGGTGACATGGTGTGACAGGGTGTGACAGGGTGTGACAGGGTGACAGGGTGTGACAGGGTGACAGGGTGACAGGGTGTGACAGGGTGTGACAGGGTGACAGGGTGTGACAGGGTGTGACAGGGTGTGACAGGGTGACAGGGTGTGGAAGGGTGTAACAGGGTGTGACAGGGTGACAGGGTGTGACAAGGTGACAGGGTGACAGGGTGTGACAGGGTGTGACAGGGTGTGACAGGGTGACAGGGTGTGACAAGGTGACAGGGTGACAGCGTGTGACAGCGTGTGACAGGGTGGCCAGGTGTGACAGGGTGACCAGAGGTGTGACAGGGTGACAGGCTCATGGGTATGGTGTGTTAGGGCCATGGCTGGGATTGCACATGGCTGAGAGTTGTGGGGTTTTCGGGATTGGGATGTCATTTCCAGTGAGCAAACACGTACAGCACCTTCCATGAAGGACAAGAATTTCAAGGCATGTGCTTTGCGCGAGCACAGGCAAGCAGTGGATTGCTGCAGTTGGGGTGGGAGTGCAGTGCAGTGCTACCCGAGGATGCACGTGTTCATTCATTGTGGAGTGGGTCTGGTGTAGCGTGGATGTGATGTACTGTACTGGCAATACTTGCCCTGGTTTTCCGTATTTGCAACGTGCAAACCGAGGAAGTACCTTACTGGTACTGTGTGATTCGAAGTCATTACCACCTTCACCCAAGGGTGATAAAAATGTAGCCTGAACGTGTACCTACCTACTGATAGAATGTCACATTCAAACACACGGTACGGTGACTCACCATACCAAAGCAAGCAGCAGGTACCACAGAAACAGATGCGTGGGTGCAACCTAGCCTTATTGAACCAGACGTTCTAGATTATCGTACTACAATACTGCACACACACTCAGCAATGGGAGCTCCGTAGGCTACCGTAGCTCGACAATGTGCCTGTGGAGCCAGCCAACACTCTCTCACTTCTTGCCTTTTCCCATGGTCTGCATGAACACTGGCCAATTCGCCTTGAATTCCGTCCAGCCTAACAGCGAACCCTCTCTAAGCGGATCCCAGCTCGTGGAGATCACTCCGTAAGAAATCCCTAATCCCGAGCCGCCGAAGGTGAACAACGACGTAAGTAGCGGCAGCCAATCCGGAACGTCCACTTTTTGGATGACCTTGAGATAGTAGAAGAGCGGGAAAAACGACAGGCCGATGAACAGAGGCACGCCGACGGTGAATGCGAGCCGCTTCAAGATTCGATTTGTAACCACTTCGGGAACTTCATCGTCAATGTCTTCGCGAACGGTCTTCACAACGGGTTCCTCCTTGACCTGTTCGACCGGCTTCGCCGGAGACGCGGGTTTCGCGGGCTTCGTTCCGAATCCTTTGGGGGATTGCGCCAACGCTCTTACTGACACTGCACGGCGGCAAATATAGGAGCTTCCAGGAGCAGAGCGACAGCGGGACTGCAGCAATGTCAACTGGGACGTTGACGACGTGAGGGAGCTTAGCTGACTTAGCGCCTGGACCCCCATCGCGAGCTCCTGGACTACGAGCTGAGGGACCTTACTAGCACGAGAGAGCACGAGTTACCAGGTTCTGACAGCTGCAGCTGATCCCCAAGTTCAGTGGGGGAGGAAATTAGTTCGCAAACAGGGTTGGACACTGGACATGAGTGGATAAGGGCGGATCACAGATTGTACATTTCTGTTCATTTGTTGCGGTTGAGTACGATAGAGTGCATTTTTGCGATGTCATTTGACCTCATCACTTTGAACCGTGACTCACCGTTCTAAACATCGATAGACAAACTTTGAACGTACCATACTGTTTGACGCGCCCGAGGGTGAGGGGTTCAGGGGGATCAAGGGAATGCGAAAGAGCCCCGTGCTGAAACGGTGGTGGGGGACAATCTTGACAGCTAGCCGTCAGCAAGTCAGTCAGGATCATTCCCCATTCTCGATGTTCCCCCCAATCCGGTATTCCAACCATTAAACGCACGCCCCCTTCCCCGACTCTCAATCTCAACTTTCCCCAAGTTCCCCCATGTTCCGCGATTCCCAGATTTTCTTCTCGTCTTCCCACCCGCTATTTTCCGCCATCCCTTTCCCAGCTTCCCCCATCCGCGCATTCCATCCGTCATACTCCACCCATTCTGCACTCCCCATAAATTCTTCCGAAAGAGAGCACCAAAAGTAGGGGACACCTAGAAGGGTGATTAATTTAGCGACTCGTTCAGCGCTTCGCGTGTTCGGTCTGATGGACGGAGTCAGCGTCATCCACCTCGCGCGCCCTGATTCGAAGCCTTGCTGGATTAAAGTTCCACGTCGTTATCGAATGGATAGGTCACGGTTCGGCAGAAATAATAGACTTGGAGCCGAGTCGAGACAAGCCGACTCGCCGTACTCCAACTATTTTATCCATACTCCCCAAGATTAATGCAATAACATTTCGCGTAGCACCAATTGAGCCCTTACCCTTAGCTGCCACTCCAAGTTTCTCCGATTCGCGTTTTCCAATTTGACGACATGGCCATTCGCGCTGCCTCACTACAGCTGCCTCCGCCATCTCTAGAAACCTCACCGTTCTCCACCGTGAAGGACCGCGTCGTGCTCTCAACAGTTCCGGCCCTCTCTGCTCATTTGACTCGCCTCATTCCTCTCGGGTTGCAGCACAGCATAGCATCCACAGCACAACGACCCTGGCTGGTTGTTCACAATCATGCAGTACTATGTTTTTTTAGGCACCTAAAAGATAAAATACCCTCCCACAAAGACCCCGGCTGGCTGCTCACAGTGGAGCAATACTATGCCAGGAGCTCACAGCTTATCATGCACACAATGTTTCACACTCTCTTTCAGGCCTCTCCCCTCCCCACTCTGCAGGTTTCAGTTTCTGTCATTCCTTCCGGGTAGCAGCACGGCACACAAACAAGAACATATCCGGGGTGGCTTTTCAGCATCGTCTATGGGTTCGGGGGCCAGAGCAAACCGTACGGCCGAGCCAGAGCCGGTGGTTTGGACAGTGAGGGCTCAGTGCAGGCTCTGCAGGTGGAGGTGCAGCGTCGGGTGGATTTCACCAGCCGCTTGTGGCTTGGGAACAAGGACCTTGAGGTCTGGTACCGAACCGGGATCAGGAACTAAATAGCTCGACATGAAAAGCAATGAGGCATTGACATGCTATCACGCACAGACACCCACATCAGCATGCTTCTCCTCTCTTGAGTGATGACAACACTGCACGAACTCCTAGGAATACACTTGCTAGGCACCCAAACGGTACGCATCTTACTTCACCTTTGTCACAACCTTCCCACAGAGAGAACGCATTACCTGCACGTCCTACCTACAACTGCATGTGATGACGTCACAACGTTATTCACAATACTCCGGGCCATGGCTTCCGTACCAATCACAGTCTCATCGTGCGAAATGAAGCTGTAACGCTTACGGCGTGCAGCCTTGGAACTTGTGATGTTAATCATAGAAATCTTATCAAGGGAAGCTGTGAAGCAGGAAGGTGCGAAACCCAACCGCGGAGTGTCTCCTCCTTTGAGGTTTAGGAATTGGTAATCGAATAGCATTCTGTAGGAGGTTGAAGAGTACCTGCCAAGCCAACAAAGGCAAGGAGAGCTCATAGTCAGGCAACACTGCCATGGCACATCAATGACATCATGCTCCTTCAGGTGAACTGCCGTGGCTTTCTCAGAGGGCACCGTTGGGGTCGCCATAGCACCAAAGACTCCTCCCTCTCCAGCGCAAACACTACACACGACGGTTGTTTGTGGAAGCCTAAAATTTTGGGATTGGTATTCAACTGGCAAGACACGAAGAAAAATTGTAACTCCAAAAAATTGGTGCCAGCACTAGTGGAACAGCGAACCAGGGGGCAGCGGCATACCTCACTGCCTTACACACGACTTTCCCCGAAGCTCCTGCGTCGCCGACTACTTTCCCGTTGCGCTTGGTTGGAGTCAGTTTCGCCACGTATTTCACTGGAAACGGGAAACAGTGGTTACCTTGACTCTAAGTACTACCCCCTTGCCGCGACATTGAGTGATTACTTTCTTCGTCAAAGCTTTCCATTCCACCGATAAAACACCACCGCCGCCTTTCCGGCCCTTTCACCACGATAACCGCGATGGTCGCTCGCGCTTTCCAGCATGTGGCTAATATTCGTCGCACGTCGCGCGACGGCTTCGCGGGTCGATAGACGCCGACCTTCGCTCGTCAGCTGTCGTTCAACCCTCGTCGTCCGTCACGCGTCGCGCGTCGCGGCACGTCGTTCGTCGCTCGTCGCTTGTCGTCGCTCGACTCTGTCGCCATCGCTCGTGTTGCAAACTGTAGTCTTCGTTCCCAGGCAGCGAATGTGGTACGCAGCCGCCCTGCGTCCGTCGAACCAGGCGCGCGGCGAGGAGGAAACGTCTGTTGTACGAAAGGGAATGTTCTTGTCCGAGGCTCACCAGTGAAACATAGTAGGCAGGGAGGTTGAGTCGGTATAGGATGCTTCATGGAATTTCTGGAATTTATAATACCGTATCAATTCTCATTCTTGAAGAGTAATACAACATTGACATGTTACCTATCCACATGCATCCCCACTTTCAGTAATCAGAACACTGCATGAACCCCTGGCAATGCATTTGCACCCATATGCTTCTTACTACTTCTTTATCAGAACCTTACCACAGAGAGCATACTGCTTATCACTGCGTCCAACAATTGCGTGCGTTGATGCCACTAAACCATACACACCAGTACGGGCATCAGCCTCGGTCCCCGCATGACCCACGAAGTCGTAAATGAAGCTGTAACGCTTACGGCGTGCATCCTTGGGACTTGTGATGTTAGTCGCTTCAGAGTTATAACGAAGAGTCGTGAAACAGGAAGGTGCGAAATCCATCAGAGGCGTTTCTCCTCCTTTGAGATTGAACAGTCGAAGCTTATAGATCACCCTGTAGGACGTTGAAGAGAACCTGCCAATTAACACGGCAAGAAGAGATAACAGTCAGGAACACTTTCATGGCACATACCCCTTCACGGTTGCTGCCAAGGGTCCTGCACGAAATGATCGTCTCTCTCCAGTGCAAGCACTTGTTCAAGTCTCAGAAGGGCACATGACGGATGTTTGTGGATGTCTCAATCAAGGGGATGAGGATCCAAGTCACAAGGCTCGCAAAAGTCGTCATGACTCCATAGGAATCGAGTCAGCACTAGTGGAACAAGGGCACATGTGAACAAGGGCACACGTGAACAAGGGTACAAGTCATTGTGCCAGCGCTAATGGAACAAGTGATCTGGGGCCCAGTGACATACCTCACTGCCATAAACACCATTTTCCCAAAAGCTCCTGCGTCACCGACCACTTTCCCGTTGTACTTGGTAGGATGCAGATTGGCCACGTATTTCACTAGAATCATGGGAGGGATTAGGAAGATGGGAAAGTAAGTAGTGGCTGCTGCATCCGGGAATGTGAAGGATTGGGAGGTGGCAGAATAGGAATGTGAAGGATTGGAAATCCAGGGAAGTGAATGATGGAACCCTCCCATGGATGGCTGCTGCTATAGCCAGACAAGGGCAAGCACGACTTGACTTGATAATCTAGCTTGTAGCATACAGCAGCTGTAGCGCTCACACCAACTGCAGCCCGCAGCACATGATATCATCTGTAGCACACACATCATCTGCAGCACACTTCGCCTGTAGCACACTTCACCTGTAGCACACTTCACCTGTAGCAGACACTTCAGCCGCAGCGCACATCAGCTGTAGCAAGCATGACGAGGCGCGCAGATTTATGCATGATGCAGACTGATCAGGCATTGCTACTAGGCATTGCTACTAGGCATTGCTACTATTTGCAACGGCTCCATGCTCCCCTCCGCCATGCAGCACGCACATCAGCTGGCGAGCTGCGCAGATTCATTCATGATGCATGATGAGGAGACTTTTCAGGTGATTTCTAAGGCGCCTCAAAAATACTCTTACCCGCAACAGTTCTATGCGCCCCACCGCAAAGTTACAGTCAACGACGAGCGCCTGTTTGACTCACGTACAAGTGGCCACGGCTGTCAACGCTTGAAGAACTTCCCGGCGTCACGCCAGGGTTACATTGACAGCTGAAGACACTTACCGATTGTCCTTCCCTGCCACACCGTAGGCTTGGCCTGAGCGTCAGAAGCGGCAGAAGAAACGTTGTCGCGAGGGAGCAGCGAGAGAAACGATGTGGCAGTCGCGCCGTAGGCAGTGCAGACAGTCACACCTGCAGGCATGCAAGGAGACAGAACGATTTTGAAGCATGACGTGGCTAACGAGAGTTAGGGCGTGACGAAACTGCCTCTGGGTTATCCGACCGTAAGCAGCAGTCAAATGGCTGTAATTCATGGCAAGAGCATGCAGAGTCGCTGTGGATTTGCAGCGCTTACAAAGCAGCAGGAGGAGAGATGCGCGGCGCTCCATGCTGATCGAAAATAATGCTTCGTCGGCTTGGCTTTTGGCAGTAGTACCGAATGGAGTCACTGGCGCAATTCCGGATGGTGGTTGCCAAATAGCCAAATGTGCGAATATATGGATTTGGCGATCGCCAGTGGCGGCGGCGCGCGGCGTGGGAATCGTGTGCACCAGAACAAGGGGAGCTCGCTAAAGGTGAGCTGTACGAACGGGTCGCTGCACCCGACTCGGGCAATGTACGGATACCGTACCGTACGGAGACAAACCCTAAAGTGACGGAGCAGTAACTTTTCCGTTGCAATTCGCGCTTTCCTTTTTCGCGATGACGGTGATAGCCTTAGAAGGAGCGGAGTCCGCTCCGAGCCGTACAGTTCGTGCTGAACCATCCCGACTGGATTTCCTCCTGGCTTCACCCGAAAGCCAGGGTATGAAAAACGCAAATAGTTGAATTGCGATTAGCACCCACTTCACAACCGTCAATTTTGTCATTCATTGTAGGCCACACACTCGCGATTCCGAGCAGCCGAACATCGCCCTGAGGACTAGTACCTAACGAGAGGGTGGTGGTACGGCACCTAGGGAAGACGAGACGACCCGCGCCGACGAAACTAGGAGTTGCAGTTGTGGGAAGGATCGAGGGATCGTCCTCACCTTGCTGTAATAATAACTTTTTCTATGTTGCATTTTCCTCCACACACATCTACGGATTGAAAATGGTAACATGCTCTTGCGACGCCGCGAATTCGCTCGCGAAAACATGGGCCTGGAATTCGGCGGCCCTCACTTTCCGTGCCCTGGAGGGTGTTGAACCATCCTTCCCACGCTTCTATTTCTTCCAGCTGTCAGAACTGATCCAATCACAGGTAGGAAAAACTTTTCTTATCCTTGGTCAGCGCGGGTTGTCTAACTCCATAGGTGCCGTACCACCACTCGCTGTGTGGGTACTAACTCGGTTATGAAGGTTTCGCATCGCAGCGAGTGTGTTCCCTTCCCTACAAGCGGGTGCTGCCGATTGCCTTCTCGGAAAGAAGTCACTTCTAATTATTAGCATCAACATGATGCCAATAACTTATTAGCTTTGGGATTCTTCCCTCCAATGCTAATAAGTTCTTAAAACCAGGGTGCACATTCATAATGGGTGTACTCCCATCGGAAAGAAATTGGTGTTCGGCGAAAAAAGTTTGGCAGGAACGAAAATACACTAGGAAGAATGGATGTGGCGAGAAATACGAAAGTGGGCGAATTGTGGCTCACTGAATTAAATCTGCGCCTGCCTGCAGCTAGGGGCTGCGGAACGACCTTCCATTTCCGCCACCCTCCCAGACACCACAGTGATGAGTGAAGAAAACGTCTCGCACTGTCTCGCCACACCAACCAACCGCCAATACACATCAGGAACCAGGCGCCGGAGAATGTGAATAGGCAAGCAACGCGCATTTCTTCTAATGACGCGAAGGGATTATGTTTAGGGTTATAAGAGATAGGGTTAGGCGAAATGTGTGGAATCGCAGCGAGTGTGTTTAGATATATAGAACCATCGTGGCAGGACACCAATGGGGAGGGAACCGGGCAGCACAACAAGGATTTCGTCAGTGGAGAGCCCCCCAAATGACATATGATTATGGGGCGTGGAGGTGCGGAGGCGGCATGTTGCATTATCGCCATAGAACAGCGCGAAAAGTAGGGTAGAAAGGCATAAAACTCGCAAACCGAAGAATAGGGTAACGGTAGGAAGGCGACGCGTGACTCATCGCCCGCACCCGCACCGTGACTACTGTCCACGCGACAAGAAGACATTCGCGCGGTCGACTTTGAAAAATAAAAAGGTGGCCATCTATGTAACCATTTCCACACGCAGCCCTTACTTGCATTCTCCACGCCCCTCACTCTCATTGTATTACCCAACACCGGCACTTACTTTCCCCCACCCAGCTATTCAGTTTCCCCCATGCAGCTGTTTACTACCCCCCAGCAGGCTATTTACTTCCCTCCATCCAGCTACCTACTTCCCCCCATCCAGCGTCTACCATCCCCCCACCCAGCTATGACCTTCCCCCCCATCCTGCTAATTACTTCTCCCCACCCAGCTTCTAACATCCCCCCATCCAACTACTAACTTTCCCCCCCAAGTAGCTACTTACTTCCCTTTCCCCCACCGCGCTACCTTCTTTCCCGGTCATTGGGCTACTTACCTCCCCCCACACAGCTACTCACTTCCCCCCACCCAGCTACTTACTTCCCCCCACACAGCTACTCACTTCCCCCCACCCAGCTACTCACTTCCCCCCACACAGCTACTCACTTCCCCCCACACAGCTACTCACTTCCCCCCACACAGCTACTCACTTCCCCCCACACAGCTACTCACTTCCCCTCACCAAGCTACTCACTTCCCCCCACCCAGCTACTTACTTCCCCCCACCTAGCTACTCACTTCCCCCCACACAGCTACTCACTTCCCCCCACACAGCTACTCACTTCCCCCCACCCAGCTACTCACTTCCCCCCACACAGCTACTCACTTCCCCCCACCCAGCTACTCACTTCCCCCCACCCAGCTACTTACTTCCCCCCACCTAGCTACTCACTTCCCCCCACACAGCTACTCACTTCCCCCCACACAGCTACTCACTTCCCCCCACCCAGCTACTCACTTCCCCCCACCCAGCTACTCACTTCCCCCCACCCAGCTACTTACTTCCCCCCACCTAGCTACTCACTTCCCCCCACCCAGCTACTCACTTCCCCCCACCCAGCTACTTACTTCCCCCCACCTAGCTACTCACTTCCCCCCACACAGCTACTCACTTCCCCCCACACAGCTACTCACTTCCCCCCACACAGCTACTCACTTCCCCCCACCCAGCTACTCACTTCCCCCCACACAGCTACTCACTTCCCCCCACCCAGCTACTCACTTCCCCCCACACAGCTACTCACTTCCCCCCACACAGCTACTCACTTCCCCCCACCCAGCTACTCACTTCCCCCCACACAGCTACTCACTTCCCCCCACACAGCTACTCACTTCCCCCCACCCAGCTACTCACTTCCCCCCACACAGCTACTCACTTCCCCCCACCCAGCTACTCACTTCCCCCCACACAGCTACTCACTTCCCCCCACCCAGCTACTCACTTCCCCCCACCCAGCTACTCACTTCCCCCCACACAGCTACTCACTTCCCCCCACCCAGCTACTCACTTCCCCCCACCCAGCTACTCACTTCCCCCCACACAGCTACTCACTTCCCCCCACACAGCTACTCACTTCCCCCCACCCAGCTACTCACTTCCCCCCACACAGCTACTCACTTCCCCCCACACAGCTACTCACTTCCCCCCACCCAGCTACTCACTTCCCCCCACACAGCTACTCACTTCCCCCCACCCAGCTACTCACTTCCCCCCACCCAGCTACTTACTTCCCCCCACCCAGCTACTAACTTCCCCCCACACAGCTACTTACTTCCCCCCACACAGCTACTCATTTCCCCCCACCCAGCTACTCACTTCCCCCCACCCAGCTACTCACTTCCCCCCACCCAGCTACTTACTTCCCCCCACCTAGCTACTCACTTCCCCCCACCCAGCTACTCACTTCCCCCCACACAGCTACTCACTTCCCCCCACACAGCTACTCACTTCCCCCCACCCAGCTACTCACTTCCCCCCACCCAGCTACTCACTTCCCCCCACACAGCTACTCACTTCCCCCCACACAGCTACTCACTTCCCCCCACCCAGCTACTCACTTCCCCCCACACAGCTACTCACTTCCCCCCACACAGCTACTCACTTCCCCCCACCCAGCTACTCACTTCCCCCCACCCAGCTACTCACTTCCCCCCACACAGCTACTCACTTCCCCCCACCCAGCTACTCACTTCCCCCCACACAGCTACTCACTTCCCCCCACCCAGCTACTCACTTCCCCCCACCCAGCTACTCACTTCCCCCCACACAGCTACTCACTTCCCCCCACCCAGCTACTCACTTCCCCCCACCCAGCTACTCACTTCCCCCCACACAGCTACTCACTTCCCCCCACACAGCTACTCACTTCCCCCCACCCAGCTACTCACTTCCCCCCACACAGCTACTCACTTCCCCCCACACAGCTACTCCCTTCCCCCCACACAGCTACTCACTTCCCCCCACACAGCTACTCACTTCCCCCCACCCAGCTACTCACTTCCCCCCACCCAGCTACTTACTTCCCCCCACCCAGCTACTCACTTCCCCCCACCCAGCTACTCAATTCCCCCCACACAGCTACTCACTTCCCCCCACACAGCTACTCACTTCCCCCCACCCAGCTACTCACTTCCCCCCACACAGCTACTCACTTCCCCCCACACAGCTACTCACTTCCCCCCACACAGCTACTCACTTCCCCCCACACAGCTACTCACTTCCCCCCACCCAGCTACTCACTTCCCCCCACCCAGCTACTCACTTCCCCCCACCCAGCTACTTACTTCCCCCCACCCAGCTACTCACTTCCCCCCACACAGCTACTCACTTCCCCCCACCCAGCTACTCACTTCCCCCCACACAGCTACTCACTTCCCCCCACCCAGCTACTCACTTCCCCCCACACAGCTACTCACTTCCCCCCACCCAGCTACTCACTTCCCCCCACCCAGCTACTCACTTCCCCCCACACAGCTACTCACTTCCCCCCACACAGCTACTCACTTCCCCCCACACAGCTACTCACTTCCCCCCACACAGCTACTCACTTCCCCCCACCCAGCTACTCACTTCCCCCCACCCAGCTACTTACTTCCCCCCACCTAGCTACTCACTTCCCCCCACACAGCTACTCACTTCCCCCCACACAGCTACTCACTTCCCCCCACACAGCTACTCACTTCCCCCCACCCAGCTACTCACTTCCCCCCACACAGCTACTCACTTCCCCCCACACAGCTACTCACTTCCCCCCACACAGCTACTCACTTCCCCCCACACAGCTACTCACTTCCCCCCACCCAGCTACTCACTTCCCCCCACCCAGCTACTTACTTCCCCCCACCCAGCTACTCACTTCCCCCCACACAGCTACTCACTTCCCCCCACACAGCTACTCACTTCCCCCCACCCAGCTACTCACTTCCCCCCACACAGCTACTCACTTCCCCCCACCCAGCTACTCACTTCCCCCCACCCAGCTACTCACTTCCCCCCACACAGCTACTCACTTCCCCCCACCCAGCTACTCACTTCCCCCCACCCAGCTACTCACTTCCCCCCACACAGCTACTCACTTCCCCCCACACAGCTACTCACTTCCCCCCACCCAGCTACTCACTTCCCCCCACACAGCTACTCACTTCCCCCCACACAGCTACTCACTTCCCCCCACACAGCTACTCACTTCCCCCCACACAGCTACTCACTTCCCCCCACCCAGCTACTTACTTCCCCCCACACAGCTACTCACTTCCCCCCACCCAGCTACTCACTTCCCCCCACACAGCTACTCACTTCCCCCCACACAGCTACTCACTTCCCCCCACCCAGCTACTCACTTCCCCCCACCCAGCTACTTACTTCCCCCCACCCAGCTACTCACTTCCCCCCACCCAGCTACTCACTTCCCCCCACACAGCTACTCACTTCCCCCCACACAGCTACTCACTTCCCCCCATCCAGCTACTCACTTCCCCCCACCCAGCTACTCACTTCCCCCCACACAGCTACTCACTTCCCCCCACACAGCTACTCACTTCCCCCCACCCAGCTACTCACTTCCCCCCACACAGCTACTCACTTCCCCCCACACAGCTACTCACTTCCCCCCACCCAGCTACTCACTTCCCCCCACCCAGCTACTCACTTCCCCCCACCCAGCTACTCACTTCCCCCCACCCAGCTACTTACTTCCCCCCACCTAGCTACTCACTTCCCCCCACCTAGCTACTCACTTCCCCCCACACAGCTACTCACTTCCCCCCACCCAGCTACTCACTTCCCCCCACCCAGCTACTCACTTCCCCCCACCCAGCTACTTACTTCCCCCCACCTAGCTACTCACTTCCCCCCACCCAGCTACTCACTTCCCCCCACCCAGCTACTTACTTCCCCCCACCTAGCTACTCACTTCCCCCCACACAGCTACTCACTTCCCCCCACACAGCTACTCACTTCCCCCCACACAGCTACTCACTTCCCCCCACCCAGCTACTCACTTCCCCCCACCCAGCTACTCACTTCCCCCCACACAGCTACTCACTTCCCCCCACACAGCTACTCACTTCCCCCCACCCAGCTACTCACTTCCCCCCACCCAGCTACTCACTTCCCCCCACACAGCTACTCACTTCCCCCCACACAGCTACTCACTTCCCCCCACACAGCTACTCACTTCCCCCCACCCAGCTACTCACTTCCCCCCACCCAGCTACTCACTTCCCCCCACCCAGCTACTTACTTCCCCCCACCTAGCTACTCACTTCCCCCCACACAGCTACTCACTTCCCCCCACACAGCTACTCACTTCCCCCCACCCAGCTACTCACTTCCCCCCACCCAGCTACTCACTTCCCCCCACCCAGCTACTTACTTCCCCCCACCTAGCTACTCACTTCCCCCCACCCAGCTACTCACTTCCCCCCACCCAGCTACTTACTTCCCCCCACCTAGCTACTCACTTCCCCCCACACAGCTACTCACTTCCCCCCACACAGCTACTCACTTCCCCCCACACAGCTACTCACTTCCCCCCACCCAGCTACTCACTTCCCCCCACACAGCTACTCACTTCCCCCCACACAGCTACTCACTTCCCCCCACCCAGCTACTCACTTCCCCCCACACAGCTACTCACTTCCCCCCACCCAGCTACTCACTTCCCCCCACCCAGCTAGTTACTTCCCCCCACCCAGCTACTCACTTCCCCCCACACAGCTACTCACTTCCCCCCACACAGCTACTCACTTCCCCCCACCCAGCTACTCACTTCCCCCCACACAGCTACTCACTTCCCCCCACCCAGCTACTCACTTCCCCCCACCCAGCTACTCACTTCCCCCCACACAGCTACTCACTTCCCCCCACCCAGCTACTCACTTCCCCCCACCCAGCTACTCACTTCCCCCCACACAGCTACTCACTTCCCCCCACACAGCTACTCACTTCCCCCCACCCAGCTACTCACTTCCCCCCACACAGCTACTCACTTCCCCCCACACAGCTACTCACTTCCCCCCACACAGCTACTCACTTCCCCCCACCCAGCTGACATCCGCCCTTGCTCCCCTCTCGTTCCCTCCACCCAGCTACTGGCCATGTCGTCTGATTGTGAGGTGCGGAGTTCTGCCCTTGAAGAGTTGCGTGACATGGCGAACAAATGCGAAGTGAAGAGTCTTGGTATTTCTAGTCACATGCAGCTGCCAATCTGTTTCCTACGGATTGGTTTGTCATGCTTGATGGGAAGGACTGCATCCATTGCCGATCTGGTGTTCTTCTTACTAATGGTGGGGGATGGGGCAATCGAGAAGCTGATGATGGCAGCAACAAGGGCTGGTGAGATGTGACGGAGTTGTGGGACAGTTTGGGGCATGTAGTTGAGATGAACAAGAAAGATTCATTAGTTCCTAATCTTTTGTTCGCGCAGGATCCGATGGGACAACCGCAGGCGAAAGTGTGAAAGTACTTCTAGCGACATTTGGTGCATCTTTCAGATGCAGGGCAGATATTGCATCAGAGGATCTATCAGATCTTACGATGCGGGATCCTTATGGCATTGCAGGTCTACGATACGGCTTTCCTGCATACACCCTGGGTCCCGATGGAGCGTTGTATCGGGATGGCCGGCGGTTTCAATGGGGTGGGGCACGGAAAGGCTCCAACTATGATGCTGGTACGCACGATCGATTCTTTTCCGAAATGCGGCGCAAGTGTGACAAGTGTGAAACCGAGACATGGATTGACATTTTTTTTCCTGGCGAATGTTGTGTCATATCACCCACAATCATGTACTTATTCGAGGCATCCCTAAACTATTATGAAACTACAATTGCCCCCACGATCTAAATTCATGGCAGCTCGACAGGATAGGCCTGTCCATGACGTCACGGCGGGTGTGGAATGGCAAGACGTGGTGATCGGGAGTGATGCGCCAGCGCGCCCAGACCAAGGCACTGTGGCTGTTGAGGTTGTGCATGAGCTGAGCGGACTGCGCGGGCCACCACCTGACTTCCGTCAGGAAACACGTTGCAATGGTGATGCAAGCCCGAGGATAGCAAGGTACTTACGTGATGAACAGAATGCGTAGAGCCCGGACCCTTCGCATGTTGATGTCCCAATGGTGCGCATTCATGTACACATTCATACAATTCAATCACTAAGTTTTGTGCACATCTACCCACTCTTCTGCTCCCGTACACCGGCAGAGCATGTGCACCCCTCCCTCCCCACAGCACTGTGGCTGTTGAGGTCGTGCACGAGCTGATCGGACGGCGCGGGCCACACTCGGACCTCCGTCAGGAAACACGTTGCAATGGTGATGCAAGCCCGATTCCAGCAAGGTACTTACGTGATGAACAGAATGCGTAGAGCCCAGACCGGACCCTTCGCATGTTGATGTCCCAATGGTGCGCATTCATGTACACATTCATACGATTCAATCACTAAGTTTTGTGCACATCTACCCACCCTTCTGCTCCCGTACACCGGCAGAGCATGTGCACCCCTCCCTCCCCACAGCACTGTGGCTGTTGAGGTCGTGCACGAGCTGATCGGACGGCGCGGGCCACACTCGGACCTCCGTCAGGAAACACGTTGCAATGGTGATGCAAGCCCGATTCCAGCAAGGTACGTACGTGTTGAACATCATGTATAGAGCCCGGACCCTTCGCATGCGTAGGGCATTCGGTGCGCATATAGTACACATTTATAATAGTTTGCTCATTAAGTGTTGCACCCATATACACACCCTTCTTCTCCCTTACAACGTCAGAGCATTTGCACCAACGCCCACCAAAACCACACCAATAAAGGGAGACGGTTGGACCATGCTTCCTCTCTTGGACGGTCTTCGCAACATCGTTTGCTTCCTTGACCCCATTCACACGCTACAGTTTTTTATGGTTTTGTCACTTCATTGTACGGGGGTGGTGGGGTGCAATGGTCGTATGAAAGTGAGGTCATGGAAATTGGGGTGGGCTGGACTTGGTTTGAAGTGGGAGTGTGACGTGTGCAGGAAGTCGATGACTTATTGGTCCATAAAACGGCAGCCACCAAACACCGATCCTTCTGTCCCTGGTCGAAAGCGTATGCCTCTGATGCAAAGGTTCATGGCGTCTTTTGCACTTGCTGGCATAGGGTATCAGGTGATGTCAGAGGTGGGTCGAAATGTAGGTGTTTGTGTACCATGTAAGACCACATTCTACAAGTATATGAGAGGGGCCGTTCGCTGTTCCTGTTCGCTATGTACCATAACTTTGATGCATTATGACTGCCCTTCATTCTTTTACTGGTCAGGTTTTGATTTAGGTGCAAGGGCAAACTCAATGTACTCGAAAAACCCTAAACCCATCACACACAGGTGATTTACTCAACACGCGATGATGAACGAAGATGGAGTGGGGGCAATGGGTGGGGCAGCAGAGGGTGGGGCAGCAGAGCGTTGGGCAACAGAGTGCATGGCAGAAGGGCACGGTGCAGCATAATAGTGTGGAGCAGCAGATAGTGGGGCAGGAGAGAGTGGGGCAGCAGAGCGTGGGGCAGGAGAGAGTGGGGCAGCAGAGCGTGGGGCAGAGAAGTGTGGGGCAGCAAAGTGTGGGGCAATTGGCCTGTGGGGCTGAAGAGCGTGGGGCAGCAGATGGTGGGGCAGCCAAGGGTCGGGGCAGCAGAGTGGCGGGCACTGGATCAGCATAGCGTGGAGCAGCAGAACGTGGGGCCGTAGAGTGTGGGGCCGCAGATTGGCCGGCAGCAGAGAGTGGGGCCGTAGAGTGTGGGGCCGCAGATTGGCCGGCAGCAGAGAGTGGGGCCGTAGAGTGTGGGGCCGCAGATTGGCCGGCAGCAGAGAGTGGGGCCGTAGAGTGTGGGGCAGCAGAGTGTGGGGCTGTATATTGTGGGGCTCTGCTGCCTGTGCTGCGCATAATACGAATCCAGCACCTGCTCTATCACCTCCATGAGCATCTCCGGTTTTCTGTGCATTGCAGCTCGACTGGATTTATGGGACCAGTGGTAGGGTATTCAAAGTGGAGGAGCGGCACGGCGTTGTCTGCTCTATGTCAACGCGGAAACAAGTGCACTAGTAAACGCGCCTCTATGTGTATCTTATGTGCCATAACGCAATGGATCACACCGTGGTGTTGTGCTTCTGACATGGTGCCAAGGGTAATTCTGTAATACCTATAACCCCCATAGTACCGTACAACCCCCAGGACTTACTATCAACCCTATTTACTATTTACCAAGTTCTGCATGTGCGTACAATAGTAAGGATCGACGTGTGTTATTGGCTCTTTTTTTCGTGTGAAATACCCCATTGCTTTATATTGACGGCTAGCATGACACGTTACAACAAATGTGTAGCTTCATCATGATGAGGGTACACCCAGATTGATATAAAATATTGCCGTGTGAGCATAGCGCTGCAGGAGCCCTGTGTGGATTCTTTGCGGCAGGTAGGCGCACCGTGTGCCTGCCGCCATTGAGGAGAATCGAGGGCACGGGTGAAAGAGGCAGAACAGAGAGGAGAGAATGGTTGCCTTGAGGAAATTGGAGGGCAGGGAGGAGAGAGGATGGAATGAGAAGTGAGAGGGCAGATTGGGAGCGCCAAGGCGTGGAAGAGAGGAATTAGGGGATGAAGTGGGGAGAGAGGGGAGGAAGAGCGCACACCCATACCCACCCGCATGTGCATGCCAGATGGCAATGTGAGGTTGTTGATGACAGGCGGCACCTGTGGTATGGAGGGCACAGCGGGCATGATTGCGAGGATGTGAGGTGAGGAGTGAAGATGGGGAGCATGAGCATTGACACATGGGACATGACAGCACATGGTTCCCTAGGCAAACGGGGAAGGGGAACGCAGACCACTGGACAGAGTCGAATGGAGGGACCGGTAATTAGAGGAACAAAGGAGTTGAAGTGCCGGCATTTTGGAGATTGGAGGGCTCGAAGGAAAGAGTAGGAAGTGCAGGGCAGGGCAGGGCGATCTTGGTAATCAAGTTCGTTACATGTAAGCATGCGAGAGTAGTGCAATCCTGATGGGACTCGTGCACGCCGACACGAGTAGAAAGGAAGGGGAAGCTAATCATCTCCACCAGGAAGAGGAACAAGGGTCAGGGCGGAGCACCTGCAGTAAGGATGGGAGAGTGATGAGGAAGAGGTGAGGTCACAGATGAGAGCGACCGGCAAGAGTAGAGGGGTGAGAGTAGAGGCATGAGAGTAGAGGGGTGAGAGTAGAGGCGTGAGAGTAGAGGCGTGAGAGTAGAGGGGTGAGAGTAGAGGGGTGAGAGTAGAGGGGTGAGAGTAGAGGGGTGAGAGTAGAGGCGTGAGAGTAGAGGGGTGAGAGTAGAGGCGTGAGAGTAGAGGCGTGAGAGTAGAGGGGTGAGAGTAGAGGGGTGAGAGAAGAGGGGTGAGAGTAGAGGCGTGAGAGTAGAGGGGCGAGAGTAGAGGGGTGAGAGTAGAGGGGTGAGAGTAGAGGGGTGAGAGTAGAGGGGTGAGAGTAGAGGCGTGAGAGTAGAGGCGTGAGAGTAGAGGCGCGAGAGTAGAGGGGTGAGAGTAGAGGGGTGAGAGTAGAGGGGTGAGAGTAGAGGGGTGAGAGTAGAGGGGTGAGAGTAGAGGCGTGAGAGTAGAGGCGTGAGAGTAGAGGCGTGAGAGTAGAGGCGTGAGAGTAGAGGCGTGAGAGTAGAGGGGTGAGAGTAGAGGGGTGAGAGTAGAGGGGTGAGAGTAGAGGGGTGAGAGTAGAGGAGTGAGAGTAGAGAGGCGAGGAGGCAGAGAGGCGAGGAGGCAGAGAGGCGAGGAGGCAGAGAGGCGAGGAGGCAGAGAGGCGAGGAGGCAGAGAGGCGAGGAGGCAGAGAGGCGAGGAGGCAGAGAGGCGAGGAGGCAGAGAGGCGAGGAGGCAGAGAGGCGAGGAGGCAGAGAGGCGAGGAGGCAGAGAGGCGAGGAGGCAGAGAGGCGAGGAGGCAGAGAGGCGAGGAGGCAGAGAGGCGAGGAGGCATAGAAGCAAGGAGGCGTGGTGGCGAGGATGCGAGGGTCGGGGCTGCAGCTGCTCGTGCTGAGTGGTGTGGTGGGTATTGAAAGAGGAGGATGAGTGTGGTGGTGTCGAGAGGGTCAGGTGAGAGTGAGACTGCAGGCATGGAGGGCTGGGGAGGGGAAGGAGAGAAGGGGTTTTTGCGATGACGCTGAGTGAGAGGGGGAGGAGGAAGCGTGATGTGGTGCCGAACTCGAAGGCGGCGGAGAGAGGGATTGGCGGGAAAGTAGGGTGATGGGGTGGGGGAAGAGGAACGGGTGGGAAAGTAAAAGTGGGGAAGGGCACCCTGGTGCGGTGGCGTGCTGGCGGGGTGGAAACTTGGCGTGGAGGCGAGGAGGCGAGGTGGCGCTCCCGCGAAGAGGCGCGGAGGCGAGGTGGGGAGGTGGTGCTACCGCGAGGAGGCGCGGAGGCGCGGAGGCGAGGCAGCGAGGTAATGAGGTGGCGCGGAGGCGAGGAGGAGGGGAGACGCTGCCGACGCGTTCCTTCAATGACGCGGAGCGCACACTAGCTGTAGGCGCGGCCTTGGGGCCGCACTTTTTTTAGTGAAGGTCAGCGAGATGAATACGGGATGGGAGGCGGGGTTCCTTTGTCAGATTACGCTTGTAGTATTCTCGTCGCGGCAGAGAATACGCGACGAGTTCCTTGCTTGTAACCCTAACTCTCGACCCCATTATGCGCCTCGTGCAGCGCCGAAGTGGCGGGTGCGACGTGGTCAGGCGAGCAGAGAATCGCCAGACGAAATCCATATCGCGAGGAAATGGGGCGGTCTACGCTAGTAACGTGCTGCCTATCACTACTAGTAAGAATAGGCAGGTCGAGAAAGAAGTACACAAACATTCGATGTGTCCGTCAAGATGTGTGGGAAATTGGATTGGGGGAAATTGAGGGGGGAATACCACTCTGAACCACTCCGCTTTCTTCCGCTAAGCAAGAAATTGTTTCCCCCACCTCCACAGTCGGGAAACGCCGTAACTCGGCCGGTCAAGGGATAACCTTTGATGAAATTGGAATGAATGTGCACCCTGGTTTAAAAAAAAAAACGCTTTTAGCTCCGGCTCCCGCTCCGCGTCAGCGTCGATCACAAGCGCGCCAAAGCGCGCTCAAGCCACGACGCGGAGGGTTTGGATTTGGAAGCCTGTCCTCCAAGCTGAGTACGTTCCCTCGATCCTTCCCACGTTTTTGAAGGAGTCCTTTCAGCTGTCAGAACGAATTGGTGGTTACAATTGCAACACACTACTTCGTCAACGCGGGTCGGCTTAATTCCTAGCCTAGGTCACCTGAGGTGCCGTCTAATCCCAATGCGAGGGTACGAACTCGAGCGGACTCCACTCTTTGTACGGCATATTCTGTACGGATCCGCATCAGAAAAATGTGAAACTGCCGAGTATGTGGGGGGGGGAGGGGAGGGGGTATTTTTCGTGTAAGATGCTCGTGGTTTTACATGGTTGATGAGGTGAAATTCCCCCCCCCCCCCCGATTTTCCCGGCATGCGCTGGGTTTATTCCTGCAGATTGTTGTTGGCTCGTCTAGTTTACGACCACCCCGATTGATCACAGTTTATCACTGTTTACCTAGCTTTGCTGATGCGCACTGTTCACGTGGAGGAGAATTTATGCTTCTTGGGTGGTTTACGTGGTGTTTGTGTTTGTGGGCTTTCGAGCGTGTTCATTGGTCGACTAGTCTAGACAGATATGGCGATAGATTGGGATATGTGCGGGGTGTGTTCCCAACCAACACCTCGCACGGAGATCTCCTTCGCGTGGAATTGTGTTAAAGTTTAGAAGAAAGAAGAGGATTGCACTAGCAAGAATGAGGATACAAATAGCAAACCCTAGAAGGGTTGTACTCGCTATAGAGCACCCCACTACAGGCTAGAGCATAAGATAACATTCTGACACACCCCCATAGCCAAAGTGGGGTGTAATCAGCAGAGTAAGCAAAGGAGTACAAGCTCAGGGTGGATCACAATGTCACCACACATTCTGAGCACAAGTTCAAGAAGCAATAGTTTAAGTTCACAATTATGAGCAAAGCTAGTGGTAGTCACAACGGGCAAGTGAGGAGGAGGAGAGAGAGTGAGAGGAGAGGAGATAGGAGGCGACGGCTGAAGCTGCAGACACACAGGCAACAGGAGGCAGACTGGCACAGCGGCTACCGGACGAAGTCCCCGGAATACAGGAGTAACAGGCCCCGCGGCTAAAGTAGCGGCAGACGAGCAACGGACCCACGGGCGGCTGGCACAGCTGGCTACGACTGGGCTACCGGACGAAGTCCCCGGAATACAGGTGCTGCTGGCGACACGACGGCAACCTCCATTCAGCTTCCCCAAACTATCCCACTCCCCCCTGGCACATACCCGCTGCTACACCGCTAGCTCCACTCCCCCTTCACCCCCCCTTAGTACCACTCCACCGGCTCCAACACGTCTACCCCCCCTCAGCGGCAGCTGCAGCACAGGGAGACGGAGGAGGAGGAGGAGCAGGGAACAGTACACAGTGGGTGCACCCCCATACCCCGCACCCCCAAACCCTAATACAGGAGAATGGGGAGTAGGAGGGGTGGGGCACGAGTAGAAGCGCTGGGGGGCAGTAGGGAGGGCAGGGGCAGCAAGGAGCGGGCCCACCACGGGCCTGGTAGGGTCGCCCGAACCGCGCGTAGGCGGCCTGAGCCGCGCGCGGGCCTGGCGCCGCCCGTACGGGCCGCGCGCGGGCCTGGCGCAGCCCGTACGGGTGGCGCACGGGCCTGGCGCAGCCCGTACGGGTCGCGCGCGGGCCTGGCGCAGCCCGTACGGGTCGCGCGCTGGCCTGGCGCAGCCCGTACGGGTCGCGCGCTGCCTGTACGGGCCGCGCGCAGGCCACGACGGGCGACGGGGGGCGACGAACGGGTCCCCGTCGCCCGTCGCGGCGCCTCCCGAGGGCGACGCGACGGTTGACGGGGCCGAAGCCCGCCGCGCGCCTCGGGGCGCACAGCGGGCAGAGAACCGCCGCGCGCCTCGGGGCGCACGGCGGGCAGAAAACCGCCGCGCGCCTCGGGGCGCACGGCGGGAAGAAAACCGCCGCGCGCCTCGGGGCGCACGGCGGGAAGAAAACTGCCACACGCCACGGGGCGTGCGGCACCGAGTGTAGTGGTAGGAGTTGCAGCGGAAGCTAGGAGGTGGTAAGCCCACCCACAGGATCGATCCAAGGGGATCGACCTGCTCTGATAGCATGTTAAAGTTTAGAAGAAAGAAGAGGATTGCACTAGCAAGAATGAGGATACAAATAGCAAACCCTAGAAGGGTTGTACTCGCTATAGAGCACCCCACTACAGGCTAGAGCATAAGATAACATTCTGACAAATTGTTGGTTGGTTCATGCCACGTCATCCGCGTTTCGGTAACTGTGTATGTAACCAATTAGCAGACATGCCATTTCGTTTGGTTTAAAGGTTTAGTTTAGCATGTACATTGTTTTTGTTATGTTTTTGTTTATTGTAAATCATTTAGTTATACAAATATTGAATGGTATGTTTCTATGCTGGATGTGATTGAGATACATAGCATCGAGCTGGCTGTGCATCTAGTTTAGCTTGATAGGGCTGTAGATATGTGGTTAGTGAACTGTTTCGCATGGTGATGCACAACCCGATAATTAATTTGTACTATGCAATGATAGGCCTGACGCAAGTGTTTCATCATAATACAACTATTTTTTCACACGTTTCCCTACTACATCCAATTCCCTAGCTGTATGAATTGGTTTGAGCTAGTTCGCACAACTACGCAACACGTGGCGCATGTTTGTGCGTTTGATGGTGAATCTGTGCGATGATAGGCCTGTGCGCAACATGTCAGCTCGCAAAGGTCTGGATGCCCTTTTTACCACTATTTCTTCACACAATTCTCTACTACATCCTATTACCTAGCCATAGGAACTGATTTCATCTCGTTAGCACAACTACGCAGCTCGCGGCGCATGTTTGTGCGTTTGCTGGCCTGAATCTGTGCAAGGATAGGCCTGTGCGCAACATGTCACTGCGCCAACGTCTGGATGCATTTTTTACCACTATTTCTTCACATAGTTCTCTACTACATCCTATTACCTAGCCATAGGAACTGATTTCATCTCGTTAGCACAACTACGCAGCTCGCGGCGCATGTTTGTGCGTTTGCTGACCTGAATCTGTGCAAGGATAGGCCTGTGCGCAACATGTTACCGCGCCAACATCTGGATGCCTTTTTTACCACTATTTCTTCACACAGTTCTCTACTACGTTCTATTACCTAGCCATAGGAACTGGTTTCATCTCGTTAGCACAACTACGCAGCTCGCGGCTCATGTTTGTGCGTTTGCTGGCCTGAATCTGTGCGAGGATAGGCCTGTGCGCAACATGTCACTGCGCCAACGTCTGGATGCCTTTTTTACCACTATTTCTTCACACAGTTCTCTACTACGTTCTATTACCTAGCCATGGGAACTGGTTTCATCTCGTTAGCACAACTACGCAGCTCGCGGCTCATGTTTGTGCGTTTGCTGGCCTGAATCTGTGCGAGGATAGGCCTGTGCGCAACATGTCACTGCGCCAACGTCTGGATGCCTTTTTTACCACTATTTCTTCACACAGTTCTCTACTACGACCTATTACCTAGCCATAGGAACTGGTTTCATCTCGTTAGCACAACTACGCAGCTCGCGGCGCATGTTTGTGCGTTTGCTGGCCTGAATCTGTGCAAGGATAGGCCTGTGCGCAACATGTCACTGCGCCAACGTCTGGATGCCTTTTTTACCACCATTTCTTCACACAGTTCTCTACTACGTCATATTACCTAGCCATAGGAGCTGGTTTCATCTCGTTAGCACAACTACGCAGCTCGCGGCGCATGTTTGTGCGTTTGCTGGCCTGAATCTGTGCAAGGATAGGCCTGTGCGCAACATGTCACTGCGCCAACGTCTGGATGCCTTTTTTACCACCATTTCTTCACACAGTTCTCTACTACGTCCTATTACCTAGCCATATGAACTGGTTTCATCTCGTTAGCACAACTACGCAGCTCGCGGCGCATGTTTGTGCGTTTGCTGGCCTGAATCTGTGGAAGGATAGGCCTGTGCGCAACATGTCACTGCGCCAACGTCTGGATGCATTTTTTACCACTATTTCTTCACACAGTTCTCTACTACGTCCTATTACCTAGCCATAGGAACTGATTTCATCTCGTTAGCACAACTGCGCAGCTCGCGGCGCATGTTTGTGCGTTTGCTGACCTGAATCTGTGCAAGGATAGGCCTGTGCGCAACATGTCGCTGTTTCAACGTCTGGGTTTTGTTTTGACCTCTTTTTCTTCACACATTTCCCTAGTACATCATATTCCCTTGCCATATGAACTGATTGGAGCTCGTTAACATGACCACGCAGCTCCTGACGCTTGTTTGTGCGTTTGCTGGCCTGAAACTGTGCAAGGGAAGGCCCGTTCGACACGTTATGCCAAACCAACGTTCATTTGTTATTTATAACAGTGTTTCTTTTGATCATTCAACTATTTAATATATTCTTGGAGTGCTGGTCAGGTTTGGTGTCATTCGCCGCGTTTGGTAGGGAGATATGATGATCAACGAAAACGTGCGAGGATTGAGAAATGTGCAAGGATAGGCCCGTGCTATTACGCGGTGCCAAATCAACGTCTGTTTGTTTTTTTTTGCAAATGTGCGAGGGTGTTAAGTGCCTACCGGACAGATCTCAACGATATTATCAAGAAGAACGAGACATAAGCATCACACTATTTGCATAAGAAGTGCCCCTAAACGCCTAGTGGTTCGTATCAACAACATACTATGTACGATCCTATTTTCATTTATGGATCA